AAGTACACTTCCTAGGGATGGGAACAGACTTGTCCTACTTGAACAGAGATGTAGAAGGAGGGTTATGAATATAAGCTCTATTTATTTTACAACAATTATGAAACAAGTAATTTCAGCTTATATTAATCACTCTTGTTGGCCCGTATGTTAGCGCGGGAGTCTTAGTGTGGGAGGAAACTGGAGTACCTGGAGAAAACCTATGTGGTCGGGCAGGTGACCCCAAACCTTTTCACATCCCATCGGGGAATCAAACCCTGGTCGCCTTGGTGACAGGCAAGTGCAATGTCCACTGCGCCACCTGACCACCCAGAAGAAGGGCTGTAATGGACATGGTATTGCATGGGGATGATTGCACTGTGTAAGAATTTATCTTTTTCTGCTTTAGAAGTGAAAACTTTTTAATAGTAAAACTGTCCACTAGGTTTTAGCTTGACTTTTAGAAAAATGGCCACCCCAGTTGTAGATCGTAAACTTTAACATTGATCGGAAAACTTCAAATGCACAGGTCAAAGTGACCGACATACATTTTTAGTAGCTAGTAAGAAGTATGAAGTGTATTTTGGCATCCCACAGCTCTAGTCAAAGCTCTAACATATATAAAAGGCGGAAAAATGCTTTTAGAGTCTTCTCTTTCGCAACAAGCACGCTAGAAAATAATTACTATATTTATTATACATTACTATCTAGATATATATGTGTAAGTATATGCCTGTAAATTTAAATTGGTTCATTATTTTAAACTTTAAAGTTGTCAGTATTTTTTTTGCTGAAATTTGATATAAGAGGGTGTCAACATCAGCGCTGGAGTTTTGTGTATTTGTGCTGTACAGGCTGAGCAGAGTTGACGTAGGGCGTGTGTTTCCTGTACGGGAGGGCAATACTTCCTAACTCATTACTCATCACTACGTACATGTGTTACTCAGGTTTGGTTTGTTTGTGTTTGGGACGTCCTATAATTAACAGCTATGGTCATGCATTTAAGGACGTGCCAAGTTTTGGTGGTTGAGGAATTTGAGCCGGAGTTCCCAGAGAAAAACCACTGACCTGACCGCCAGTACCTGGCGACTGCCCCAAGTAGGTCTCGAACCCGCGACCCAGTGGTGGAGGGCTATAGTGGTAGCAGAATGTCAGACGCCTTAATAACTTGGCCACCGTGGCTCCTTCTTGCTGACACACAAGATGTAATGAATATAAAGAACTTATGAAAACTTTCTGTTTTTTCTTTTAATTCTTCCTGAAGTTGAACTTCATATTTTATGTTGGTTACATAAACAGGACTTCAAAAATTTCATCAGTAAAGTTCTATACCTATTTTAACTATGCAGAATACTGCAAGCTTTAAACTATTGATAACAGCCATTTTATTCTCAATTGCAAATACACATGTCACAATGAAAAATATACAAAAAAATTCACAATCTAAATGGTACTGGAAGGAATATTTTTCCAGCATCAGAGAATTCTGAACTTTCCTTCTTGTTTATTGAAAGAAAACTCTAGAAATAATTGCAAGAATTGATAGTTAAAATTGTGTGGCATCGTTGGATAGAGGGCTAAAACTCGAAAAATAATTGCAAGAATAGATAGTTAAAATTGAGTTGCATCCTTGCTACAAAATTTGTTCAAATAAATGACCTTGACCCACTTTCAAGGTTTATTCACTTTTGAGGTTACTGGTGTGTTGCTGTATTAGTTTCACCATTATCACCTTTTATGCTGTCTACAGTTCATTTGATGAACAGAGTAGTTAAAAATATGGTTGACAATGTTAAAATTGACAATACACATTCAAGCAAGGTGAAAATTGACACACCTTGGATTTAAAAGCAGATTTGTCCTTTACCACACACTGAGACGCGTAGACCATTTGTCCTTTACCACACACTGAGACGAGTAGACCATTTGTCCTTTACCACACAATGAGATTTGTATACCATTTGTCCTTTACCACACAATGAGATGCGTAGACCATTTGTCCTTTACCACACAATGAGGTTTCTAGAACATTTGTCCTTTACCACACAATGAGATGCATAGACCATTTGTCCTTTACCACAAAATAAGATGCGTAGACCATTTGTCCTTTACCACACAATGAGATGCGTAGACCATTTGTCATTTACCACACAATGAGATGTGTAGACCATTTGTCCTTTACCAAACAATGAGTTGTGTAGACCATTTGTCCTTTACCACACAATGAGATGCATAGACCATTTGTCCTCGACTGCCCCAAGTAGGTCTCGAACCCGCGACCCTTTACCACACAATGAGATGCGTACACCATTTGTCCTTTACAACACAATGAGATGCGTAGACCATTTGTCCTTTAACACTCAATGAGGTTTCTAGAACATTTGTCCTCTACCACACAATGAGATGTGTAGACCATTTGTCCTTTACCACACAATGAGGTGTGTAGACCATTTGTCCTTTACCACACAATGAGGTGCGTAGACCATTTGTCCTTTACCACACAATGAGGTGCGTTGACCATTTGTCCTTTACCAAACAATGAGGTGTGTAGACCATTTGTCCTTACCACACAATGAGATGCATAGACCATTTGTCCTTTACCACACAATGAGATGCGTACACCATTTGTCCTTTACAACACAATGAGATGCGTAGACCATTTGTCCTTTACCACACAATGAGATGCGTAGACCATTTGTCCTTTACCACACAATGAGGTGCATAGACCATTTGTCATTTACCACACAATGAGGTGTGTAGACTATTTGTCCTCTACCACACAATGAGATTCATAGACCATTTGTCCTTTTACCACACAATGAAGTGTGTAGATCATTTGTCCTTTACCACACAATGAGATGCGTACACCATTTGTCCTTTACCACACAATGAGGTGCGTAGACCATTTGTCCTTTAACACACAATGAGATTTGTATACCATTTGTACCACACAATAAGATTTGTACACCATTTGTCCTTTACCACACAATGAGAAGGGTAGACCTTTTGTCTTTTACCACACAATGAGGTTTCTAGAACATTTGTCCTTTACCACACAATGAGATGCGTAGACCATTTTAAAGAATATCAGAAAACAATTGGATACAATCAGATTGGTTAAGTTGAACCTCTTACTGTTGGTATGCTATATGTCTGTATTTCAAAGATACCAATGACAGGAAGCTGTTGTTGTGTTGTTGAAAAGAACAGGGTATTGGGACCTGTACTGTCCAGATTCTGTCCCTGCTGATGTTTTAAGTAGTGGGAACAGCACTATTATAAAGTGTTCTGTTTATAACAGTATAGAAGAGATATGGTCACATCTATGTATTTAACTGGTAACAAGTTTATCAATTTTTATCTCATTGTAGACAAACATGATACACTATTAGCTGTAAACACTGATACAGGATGGCCACAGCTGAGTAGGGTAGGCCGGCTTCAACAACTATTTGTACGACAGGAAAAGCCAAAGCCTGTATTCATGGAACAATCTCACGCTCAAGATTGGTCTATTTGCTCCAGCTTAATTTCTTGTTTCAGTTATAAATTAATAAAACAAATCCTACTTTCTCAATGATTTGGAAAACTTTGAAGAGACTTTAAGCCAAATTTTCTTTTCAATGTTTACATCGTACTGTAGGAATGTTTTACATGACTTAAGTGAGTTACAAGAACGCTGGTTTGAGCACAGAATCCATGCTTGAGCACGAGAACGATGTCATGAATATGGACCCAGGACTAAAAGTATATGCAATGTAACAGGAATTATCTTAAAACTCTGATTGGAGTCTGATGTACATTAAAAACATAGCTGACAGTGTCTGCTGTAACCATAGCTGAGAGTTAAACTGGTGTCTGCTAACACCTGAGGGTTGTAACCATAGCTGAGAGTTATACTGGTATCTGCTAACGCCTCGGGGTTGTAACTATAGCTGAGAGTTAAACTGGTGTCTGCTAACACCTCGGGGTTGTAACCTTAGCTGAAAGTTATACTGGTATCTGCTACCACCTAAGGGTTGTAACCATAGCTGAGAGTTATACTGGTATCTGCTTATGCCTGAGGGTTGTAACCATAGCTGAGAGTTCAACTGGTGTCTGCTACCACCTCAGGGTTAATGTTGTAACCATAGCTGAGAGTTAAACTGGTGTCTGCTAACGCCTCGGGGTTGTAACCTTAGCTGAAAGTTATACTGGTATCTGCTCCCACCTAAGGGTTGTAACCATAGCTGAGAGTCATACTGGTATCTGCTAACACCTCGGGGTTGTAACCTTAGCTGAAAGTTATACTGGTATCTGCTCCCACCTAAGGGTTGTAACCATAGCTGAGAGTCATACTGGTATCTGCTAACACCTCGGGGTTGTAACCATAGCTGAGAGTTATACTGGTGTCTGCTTATACCTACTATAGCTGAGAGTTAAACTGGTGTCTGCTAACACCTGAGGGTTGTAACCATAGCTGAGATTTAAACGTGTGTCTGCTAATACCTTAGGGTTGTGACCATAGCTGAGAGTTCAACTGGTGTCTGCTACCACCTCAGAGTTAACGTTGTAACCATGGCTGAGAGTTATACTGGTGTCTGCTTATACCTGAGGGTTGTTACCATAGCTGAGAGTTCAACTGGTGTCTGCTACCACCTCAGGGTTAATGTTGTAACCATAGCTGAGAGTTAAACTGGTGTCTGCTAACACCTCGGGGTTGTAACCATATAGCTGAGAGTTTTACTGGTGTCTTCTAACACCTGAGGGTTGTAACCATAGCTGAGAGTTAAACGTGTGTCTGCTAATACCTTAGGGTTGTAACCATAGCTGAGAGTTCAACTGGTGTCTGCTAACACCTCGGGGTTGTAACCATAGCTGAGAGTTAAACTGGTGTCTGCTTATACCTCTGGGTTGTAACCATAGCTGAGAGTTATACTGGTGTCTGCTTATACCTGAGGGTTGTAACCATAGCTGAGAGTTCAACTGGTGTCTGCTAACACCTCGGGGTTGTAACCATAGCTGAGAGTTAAACTGGTGTCTGCTTATACCTCGGGGTTGTAACCATAGCTGAGAGTTATACTGGTGTCTGCTAACACCTCGGGGTTGTAACCATAGCTGAGAGTTATACTGGTATCTGCTAACACCTCGGGGTTGTAACCATAGCTGAGAGTTATACTGGTATCTGCTAACACCTCGGGGTTGTAACCATAGCTGAGAGTTATACTGGTATCTGCTAACACCTCGGGGTTGTAACCATAGCTGAGAGTTATACTGGTATCTGCTAACACCTCGGGGTTGTAACCATAGCTGAGAGTTATACTGGTATCTGCTAACACCTCGGGGTTGTAACCATAGCTGAGAGTTATACTGGTATCTGCTAACACCTCGGGGTTGTAACCATAGCTGAGAGTTATACTGGTATCTGCTAACACCTCGGGGTTGTAACCATAGCTGAGAGTTATACTGGTATCTGCTAACACCTCGGGGTTGTAACCATAGCTGAGAGTTATACTGGTATCTGCTAACACCTCGGGGTTGTAACCATAGCTGAGAGTTATACTGGTATCTGCTAACACCTCGGGGTTGTAACCATAGCTGAGAGTTATACTGGTATCTGCTAACACCTCGGGGTTGTAACCATAGCTGAGAGTTATACTGGTATCTGCTAACACCTCGGGGTTGTAACCATAGCTGAGAGTTATACTGGTATCTGCTAACACCTCGGGGTTGTAACCATAGCTGAGAGTTATACTGGTATCTGCTAACACCTCGGGGTTGTAACCATAGCTGAGAGTTATACTGGTATCTGCTAACACCTCGGGGTTGTAACCATAGCTGAGAGTTATACTGGTATCTGCTAACACCTCGGGGTTGTAACCATAGCTGAGAGTTATACTGGTATCTGCTAACACCTCGGGGTTGTAACCATAGCTGAGAGTTATACTGGTATCTGCTAACACCTCGGGGTTGTAACCATAGCTGAGAGTTATACTGGTATCTGCTAACACCTCGGGGTTGTAACCATAGCTGAGAGTTATACTGGTATCTGCTAACACCTCGGGGTTGTAACCATAGCTGAGAGTTATACTGGTATCTGCTAACACCTCGGGGTTGTAACCATAGCTGAGAGTTATACTGGTATCTGCTAACACCTCGGGGTTGTAACCATAGCTGAGAGTTATACTGGTATCTGCTAACACCTCGGGGTTGTAACCATAGCTGAGAGTTATACTGGTATCTGCTAACACCTCGGGGTTGTAACCATAGCTGAGAGTTATACTGGTATCTGCTAACACCTCGGGGTTGTAACCATAGCTGAGAGTTATACTGGTATCTGCTAACACCTCGGGGTTGTAACCATAGCTGAGAGTTATACTGGTATCTGCTAACACCTCGGGGTTGTAACCATAGCTGAGAGTTATACTGGTATCTGCTAACACCTCGGGGTTGTAACCATAGCTGAGAGTTATACTGGTATCTGCTAACACCTCGGGGTTGTAACCATAGCTGAGAGTTATACTGGTGTCTGCTAACACCTCGGGGTTGTAACCATAGCTGAGAGTTATACTGGTATCTGCTAACACCTCGGGGTTGTAACCATAGCTGAGAGTTATACTGGTATCTGCTAACACCTCGGGGTTGTAACCATAGCTGAGAGTTATACTGGTATCTGCTAACACCTCGGGGTTGTAACCATAGCTGAGAGTTATACTGGTATCTGCTAACACCTCGGGGTTGTAACCATAGCTGAGAGTTATACTGGTATCTGCTAACACCTCGGGGTTGTAACCATAGCTGAGAGTTATACTGGTGTCTGCTAACACCTCGGGGTTGTAACCATAGCTGAGAGTTATACTGGTATCTGCTAACACCTCGGGGTTGTAACCATAGCTGAGAGTTATACTGGTATCTGCTAACACCTCGGGGTTGTAACCATAGCTGAGAGTTATACTGGTATCTGCTAACACCTCGGGGTTGTAACCATAGCTGAGAGTTATACTGGTATCTGCTAACACCTCGGGGTTGTAACCATAGCTGAGAGTTATACTGGTATCTGCTAACACCTCGGGGTTGTAACCATAGCTGAGAGTTATACTGGTGTCTGCTAACACCTCGGGGTTGTAACCATAGCTGAGAGTTATACTGGTATCTGCTAACACCTCGGGGTTGTAACCATAGCTGAGAGTTATACTGGTATCTGCTAACACCTCGGGGTTGTAACCATAGCTGAGAGTTATACTGGTGTCTGCTAACACCTCGGGTTTGTAACCATAGCTGAGAGTTATACTGGTGTCTGCTAACACCTTGGGGGTGTAACCATAGCTGAGAGTTAAACTGGTGTCTGCTAACACCTCGGGTTGTAACCATAGCTTAGAGTTATACTGGTGTCTGCTAACACCTTGGGTTGTAACCATAGCTTAGAGTTATACTGGTGTCTGCTAACACCTTGGGTTGTAACCATAGCTTAGAGTTATACTGGTGTCTGCTAACACCTTGGGGGGGTAACCATAGCTGAGAGTTAAACTGGTGTCTGCTAACACCTCGGGTTGTAACCATAGCTTAGAGTTATACTGGTGTCTGCTAACACCTTGGGGTTGTAACCATAGCTGAGAGTTAAACTGGTGTCTGCTAACACCTCAGGGTTAACGTTGTAACCATAGCTGAGAGTTATACTGGTATCTGCTAACACCTCGGGGTTGTAACCATAGCTGAGAGTTCAACTGGTGTCTGTATGTGCTAATGTATCTGTTGTAGCTCTTTTATTTTACAATGTATATACCAAATTATTATTATGTCAATCCAACTTATATCAAAATGAAAGGAATGTTTTCAATATGTAACACTGTACTGTTACTGTTATGTGTCATAACATGTAATAGTTGACCTCTTGTTATGCACGTATACGTGTGGCGTGAGTGTAAAAATAAAACTTGAAACTTGTAAACTGCTTACACCTCAGGGTTGAAATGCTGTCAAAGGCTTAGCACTCTAGACCTGACATTACATTAGAAAATGCCACTGTAGTTTTTTTACACATAGTTACCTTTGTTTTGAATATGAAGTTCTGTAATAGCTGTAATTGGCCAGAACCCTGCAGTTAGAATGACAATGATGATTATAAAGGTTCATGGTTTGATTCCTGCTGTGTTATTGTCAAAAACTTTATAACTCACCTTGAAAACAGAAAAAAAAATAGAGGACATTCAAATTTCATTTTCCTTTACAACTTAATTTTAATAGAGGAGTTATTTCAGTAATACACTGCAGTGTATAGAGACGAACCTTACCACTCGGAAGTGATTCAGACTGTAGTAGGGTTAATATACATGCCGGTACAACATGCCTCTTGACATGGTTTTTGATCCTCACTACTTCACCATACCCTGAAGTATCCTTCACACATACGTTAATAGAAATACTTCAGACTGCTGTGATAAAGACGGGAAAAAAATGAAATTATAGGAGATTAACTCATTTACCGCTGAAGACACATTTAGACTCTTCCAATTCAAATGTTGGAATAGTTCATTATGAAATTTCAGGGGTGAATGAGTTAAAGTCCTGGTTATACCTGCTGTTAATGTGATTAACCTATGCTACATATTATTATTAATACAGAATTGTATAAAAAAGCCTTTTATGTCAACTTGTATCCATGAGAAGCCGAACCAAATCATTGATAATACTGCTTTAAACTGAAATGTTACAGCATGGACTTGATAGTGTAATTAGAGTATATACAGTCCAGTAGTATTCTACTTGTCATTCAGTATATCTGTATACACATTTGTATAATGTACAGTCAAATTAGAAAGATTTAGTGGTGTATTTTGTACTATATAAAGTAAAGCCTTCTGATAAGCTAATGTCTGATGTGCTAATGTCTGTCCTGTGTTATCTCCCGATGTGCCCTCTCCTGTTAAGGTGTTGTCCCTCCTGTATTATCTTCCCAGCATGCCCCGTTCTAGATGAGGTGTTGTCCCTCCTGTATTATCCTCCCAGCATGCCCCATTCTAGATGAGGCGTTGTCCCTCCTGTATTATCTTCCCAGCATGCCCTGTTCTAGATATAAAGGTGTTGTCCTTCCTTAATTATCTTCCCTGCTTGCCTCTTTCCTGATGAGATGTTACATACCCCATATGCCCCTTTCTTCATGAGGTGTTATCTCCCATGCATGCCCCTTTTCTGATAAATTGTTGTCCCCCTGTATTATCTCCCATGTGTAGCCTTTCCTGATGAGATGTTGTCCCCCCCCCTGTATTATCTCCCCTTCATGCTCCTTCCCTGATGAGGTGTTTTCCCCCCAGTATTATCTCCCCTTCATGCCCTTTCCCTGGTGAGGTGTTATCCCCCCTGTATTATTTCCCCTTCATGCTCCTTCCCTGATGAGGTGTTGTCCTCCCTGTATTATCTCCCCTCCATGCCCCTTCCCTGACAAGGTGTTGTCCCCCCTGTTTTATCTCCTATGTGTACTCCTTCCCTGATGAGGTGTTGTCCCCCCTGTATTATCTCCCCTTCATGTCCATTCCCTTATGAGGTGTTGTCCCTCCTGTATTATCTCCCCTTCATGCCCATTCCCTTATGAGGTGTTGTCCCCCCCTTTATTATCTCCCCTTCATGCTCCTTCCCGGATGAGGTGTTGTCCCCCTGTATTATCTCCCCTTCATACTCCTTCCCTGATAAGGTGTTGTACCCCCTGTATTATCTCCCCTTCATGCCCATTCCCTTATGAGGTGTTGTCCCCCTGTATTATCTCCCCTTCATGCTCCTTTCCTGATGAGGTGTTGTACCCCCTGTATTATCTCCCCTTCATGCCCATTCCCTTATGAGGTGTTGTCCCTCCTGTATTATCTCCCCTTCATACTCCTTCCCTGATAAGGTGTTGTCCCCCCTGTCTTATCTCCCCTTCATGCCCATTCCCTTATGAGGTGTTGTCCCCCCTGTATTATCTCCATTGTGTGCAACTTTCCGTTATGTCCTGCCCTCTAACTTATAACATTCTTTCTCTTCTGGTTTTTCTCATTATGAAGTTATGACAATACACTCTTTTGTTGTTATAACATGTGTAGAAATATGTCTGAAATCTCCTTGTCATGTACATACACAAACACTTACCATATCCATGTACAGGTATATCCTTGTGTTATAGTAATCATATACCAGGTAACTTTACCTTGAGGGTCCTGGTATCATGATTGACCCCAAGTCAACAGGTGGGTTTTACCTTGAAGTATTTCCTATATATCTGAAAAAGATTTATCTCGTTAGTGATGGATCAGGTGTACCTGGTTGGGTCAGGTGAGATTTTTATGTCACAGGGACATTTTTCATGATGGAATGCATATGATTACAACTGAACCAGCCTTAGTTTTACCTGTGAAACAGTATTTGGACACCTTGACAAGTGATCACACATTTGGTTGTTTCCTCATTTACCCAGAATGTGGAGCACTCACTAGACAATCAGCGAGTGTGACATTTACATGTATTTATCGGCCTATGCTTCACTGGAAATGTCAAACTTGTAACATTAAACTGGGGTTACCATTTATATACATGGTTGAGAGACCTCTGGATCATTGTCACCAGGTGGTGGCACATGCAATAAAGAACTACTTCTGCTTAACTCATTCACCCCTGAAATTTCTGAATGAACTATTCCAACCTTTGAATTGGAAGAGTTCAAATGTGTCTTCAGGGGTGAATGAGTTAAACTTTTTACCAAACTTGACAAAACATGTCAACCTAGATTGGGGTTTGGTTGAATTGTTTTTAGGCCCCCACCATTGCTATATCTATATATACGAAAAGTTGGTACATGGTTGCATTGTAACATCTTGAGAAAGGTGTAATGTAGTATAACAAAAATAGATCAGTGTGACCTACTTTACTGACCCCTGACCCCTGACCCCTGATCATTCAAACAGTTTGTCTGGGGCATATCACGGTAACAGACTTAAATCATTGAAGTTTGTCTATGTCAATTTTTTTCTTTTTTTACAGCAGAACAGGTCAGCAATTAAACAGACACCTGTAATGTCCTGCTATATATTAACATTTGCATGGCACTGTCACGATATAATTTATTTGAAAGCTGTGTCATTGATTGGACTTTAAATGACATGCATAGCGAGACACAATTCTTAGCGTATTAATACAACAATATCCAGTGTAAACAAACATGATGGCTGCTGAAATGTCACTGGGCATTGTGAGACCTGACAATGTAGTTGTATTTTATGTTTAAAAATAACGAGAAAATATTTAAAAAAGACTTTAATTTCAACATAAAAAGGACAAATGTCTGCAGTATTGTACAAAATGCACATCGGTTGAAATAACCAATGAGGACAGTTTTAACACTCATACAATTTATCAGAAATACCGTCTGTTACACTCTACTTTCATCTTACCATGACAGAATCAAGCAATCTTCGCACTTTTTGCTTGGATTTGCCCAACTTTTTCGGTAATGAAATATCATCTAGCAGGAATGAAACTTTAAGAAATGTTAAGTTGGCAGGCATCCTGAGTTACAATCTGCTGTTGTCCTACACTCTGTCACAAGATCACACACTTCAATCAAAAGCTATTGCACGTCTGTCCGCCATGGTTTCCTCAGGTTTTGATGACATGTCAAATAACGAGGCTGTTGTAGCATCTACCAACTGTAGCCAGGATTCGATGCATTCATCGCAAATTCAAACTTTTTGCACTGCTCATTCAACTTCCAAATATAACTCCCTCGTGAAGGGTAAGGTCGGATTACAGTGTTGACTGTATTTACCCATGCGCGAAATTTGTTCCGGAGTAAAAATCAAAACAATTTCAAATCTAACTTTCAGCTCAAATTTCTATTGATGCATTCACAATTGTATTGATACTAAATTGCAGAATAAAATTCAAGTGTTTGTTAAAGTTTCAAAGTACTATTTTGTTTGCCAATCAGCACACGACAAACACTGTTTTGGCTGTTGAACAAATTTGTGTGGACTGTCGATTAGACGTAAATTTTAAATTTTAGATATAACTTGTAAGTTAAAAAAAACCCATAAAAGTCAGAAAAAACCATGAATATATATATATATATATATATTATATAAAGAAAAATTCTTAACAACGAGTCTTTAGTACTTTCATCTCTTCTAGGAGATTCTTCAGACTGTTTATTTGAAGTATTGACGTCATAAACTATGACGTCACATAATAGTTCCCTATAACGACATCCGCCATATACGTACCCGCCATAACGATATCACAGCAACATAAATATATAAATTATAGTCTTAAGGCAAAGAGTACTATTTGTTTAGGATTTAGATAAACTAGTAATCCTATTACTTACAAAAGAAATAATATAATAATAATAACAAATAAGTAAAAATAAAAAATAAAAACACTACCTGTGTGGGGC